CTAGTTACCGTTTTTGCGTAAGTTCGGGATTGATTCATTTGTCGGGTAGTCTGAACTTAGCTATCGTACTAATGTCTATTTAATTAACATAGTGGAGTGCGTCGTTCGACATAAAAGCTACGGCTTTTTTATTTCAAATGCCATTGAGTCAAAGCTTGAGTTTGATATAAACACTAATATTATTTTATATCTTATTTTCATAGGGAGTAATTGGGCTTATGCTTGTTTGCCACTGCTTTCAGCCTGTCAGTAAACAATAATGAGACACATGCATGTGTATTTAACCAAAAAAATAATATCATCATCATCATCATCATAGTCGTTTGCTCTTGGCAGAGCAAATAAAATAAAATAAAATACTATAATTGTGTACAATTTACAAAACTTCAATTATGAATACAGGCGAAATATACGTAGGTACTTTACTGATTAGTTTTATGATTCGCAAGAATCTCGTATATAACGGAGATGTTTCGAAGCAATTCCATTCTAATTTCACTTATATACAAGGCCGAAAATCCGAAGTTTTATTCGTGGGAAAAGTATTTTTCCTGTTAAAAGTCAAGGTCCCGTTTGGGAAAGTAATCAAAATGAACGGCCACTGCGTCGCGGTTACGCAGCGAATGTCGTTAATAATTTACAGAGTTACATCCTATTTAGGTTTCTCAGATATTTGTCAAGAAAATGTACTTTCTTTGATTTGAATTCTGTCACGCTGGCGCTGTTGGAGAAGTGACAGAGATATGACGTTGAGTGAAATGAAATTTGATTTATATTTAGAAATGCGTAAAAATTTTAAAGGGCTGGCCTTTGTATCTTCTTAGAAGAAGTGAACAAATCCTCGCTAAAAGCGAACTAACGCATGGACACAGCCCACTGAGTCTCCCAAGCCCAATCTCGTCTGATCTTCTCAGTGGGTCGCGATTCCGATCCGGTGGTAGATTTTACGAAGCACTGCTCTTGCTAGGGCTAGCGTTAGCAAGTTCTCTCAGATTGAGGCCGTGAGCTAACCTCCCCATCCCATAACTCCATAGGCTATCCGCGAATAGGTAGTGAAAAAAAGGTAATTAAACCGATGTGACCCCGCTTCCTAATCCCTCCCTGATAAAACAGAAACACTCCGACATCAGATCTTATTACTCAGGCAATTACTGTGTTTCACTCCCGATCTGTCTAATTTCACTTTAATTATCTTTCTTTGTTCAATTAAACAACAAATTCGTTCCTCGACTTTTTTGTAACAACAAATTGAATACGTCTTCAGTAGGTACGTTTTAATTAGAAAATCCTGAGAACGGGTAATTAAAAGGATCAAAGGTGTGAAAATTGAGCTCGGAATTCTATTTTATACGTGCTTCATGTATTCGTGGTTGGTTTGAGCCAAGACTGGGAGTGGGGATTCCGTATTAAACATATTTAAACGTGCCACGGCTTTATGTTACCTGATGTTAAATGCAAACCGGATATACTTATAAACCCGGAGATGACCCATTAAAAATCACAACACTGCCGCGGATCTCGAGACAGATCTCAATGTTTCTATCACATTGTTTCCCTGGAGGATTTGGAGCTTTTGGTGAACGCTTGAAGATGGCTAATGTTGATATTTTATTTTTAGTAGTCCAGCGCTTACCTTGTGACTTGCGTTTTTGGATTTTTCAACGCGGACGTGACAATTTCTTTTAGAAATTCTGACGATAAATTGTCTGTTAGTTTCGCGCTCTTTTTTAATGATGCCAATGTGCACTTTCTTTTTCTCAATTCACTTAAGATCCTCCTATTCCGTAGTGTAACATCTAAAACCAAAAAATCACATGAATACTTATTAACCAATCGTTAAAAGTGGTGCTACAAGTAGATGGCATCACACCCGATACACCAAGCGATTTATCCGTGAAGCCACTATTATCTATCCCAACCGACAACATTAATGAACATCTAAATACAATTTGCATGTCGAACGGCGCTAAATGCAATCGACTTAATTGAAGGTAGAAGCCTCTTTGTTTACCGGAACTTGTTGATTCAGGCGACCGATGAAGCGCTTTGCCCTGTAATTGCTCGTAAATATAATTAAAAACACTTTTTAAAAGCTTAAAAAGATATTTCCACGGCTTAATATCCTTCGTTCAGATACGTCATGAACACTCCTTCACGCTTGCGACTCGTAAAGCTGTATAAATTGTTTATTTACTTATAAAATGTTTACCGCTATTTATATTATACTACTACACAGAATCTTAGTATTGAAACTTGTCAAAGAGGTGAAGGGTAAACGAAGGATATACGATGCAATTGTTTTTTTTTTATTAAGAAAAATAAAGCAATATGCATGAACAATAGTACGATTGATGGGAACTTCAAAAAAAATATATGTGGTGTCGTGGGACACCGGATAGGAATGAAGTTCCTTATTATAAAAATATTAATTTTCAATTCTTTTCGAGGTATAAAGAAATTATTTAATTGGGTATACATTTTTTATTATTCACAATGATTTATAAAAAATATGTTATTTTTTGTACGTTTTTAAAAAGCTAAGTCATACACTGCATTACTAATAAAAATCTTACGTTACGGACCTTTTTACCCGCTAAGGGTACCCCTCCGCATCTTCCCATAAGGAACTTCGTTCCAAAAAACCCTTATGAAATATACAAAGTGCTGCAAACCCGAAATGAAATTGTGTTTCAATCAAAACTATGGCAACGTGAAAATCAAATTCGATTGAGAGTTGGCCGCGTCCCGGCGCGCACTAATTAATTTTCAAAATGGCTGACTAACGAAGCGCGGTTCGCTGCGTATCGCACACCGCTGACGATACCATTTTAGTTTTGCATTAACTTAATTTTAAGCTAACAAACTATAAGCTCTTATACAACTATTTGTTTGGTTTGCGTAGATATTTCAAAGTGGATGTTGACATTGACATTGATTATTATGAGGCTTCAGAGCTCGTAAATTAAGACGAGAAAGAGAAAGAGAAAGAGCGAGAGAGAGAAAGAGAGAAATAAAGAGAAAGAGAACATTTCCCACCAAAACCAAGAAGATTCCTTCTTCTTATTATTGTTACCCCATATTATTTGGATAGGTCCGCATATCCTAATATCACGGTGCATAAAGATGGCGTAAAGAAACCGTCTGCCTTTTGTTAACCCTTCTCGGTTTGTTTTGCTTTTTTAATCTCCAAAAGACCTTTTTAATTTAACACTGATGGTTGTCATCGACGATATTTAAGTCGATTTGTCGTCAAGGGTCGTATCAGAAATCGCATTGTACTCCAAACATGTTCATAATAGTTTTATGCAAAGGATAAAATAATATCAAAATTCTCACTTCAGCGTGTTTCTAATTCAGACCGAATAGTCTTTTTAGACTTTATTGAGCGATTTTGTTGTTCTACTAGAGTGTAAAACTAAAAAGGCAAACCGTTTCTTTACCTCCATGAGGGCAGTGATAACACTTTTGACAGATTGCGGGATCTTTTACGATTACCATATCCAAAAAGCGCCTTCGAGAAATTGAAAATCGCGTTTGTAATATTATTACCATTTTATTATTTTGACGTTATGTAGTATAATAATATAGTTTTTCGTGGTCGCGGATCCCTGGAAAGTAAACCGTGAAAGTATTGTCGACTGTCAAAGCTAAAGAAAATATTAAACTAAAACTGTTTTTAATAATATCGACTACGAGTATGGCTGGTAATAATGAAACAATTTACGGACAATGAAATGGGAGACAAGAAAACAAAGACAATAGGAGAGAATACGTCAACGTGACGTGATAGATGATCCTCAACATTAGTCAAGCTTACGCCCACCTAAACTGTACTAGGATTTGCAGAAGACAAGTATTGTAGCCTGTCCTTCCAATGATTTTGCGTATCATGGACACGATTATACTCCCATTTATTCATTCGCTTCCCGTAATCTAATAGGACGAGGTACTTCGATCAGATCGAGTTGAATGATAACGCGACTTCGCCGTAATTTTTGAGGTCTATAGGCTGTCTTACCTTGTAAAACTTGGTCGTTTTTCTGCTGAACCTAAACTGGCTATCTCCCCTGGTCGTATTATGCTTCTTACGAAAGAGGCTGAGTTTTGCAACTCCCAGGAAACGTTTCAGGGATACGTCAGACATTTCCTGAAAACAGACACTAATGACACTCCAGACAATTTCCTATATACGAATTCTCGTAAATATTTACTTTATCTAGCGAACTGAGTACAATTTCCTTTATTGCTTCTCCGTCTCTTGGGACGAGACCTGTGCCGCGGTTAGTAATGTGGCACGTACTAGTGTTTTAATATTTAATTATTCTTTACTGCTATGCTGCGGGGTAAGAGCCTGCAGTATTAGTAAATAGCATTTGAATCATTTAATTAGTTTTTCAGCTTTGCAGCGGTTGATATTAAGATATTCATGCGATCTTTCGTATCCTTTTCTGATAATGTTTCCTCGTGTTTAAATATGTAAGACATCCTATTAAGTCGAGCGGGAACTATACCACGCTAATCCCTGTGGGGACGTCCATACCGGTGTCTATTGTTATGAAACCGAATGCTGATGTTAGGGAATGGCCTTGTTATTCCCATACTTTTTTTGCGCTATTCATAACTCGATGATATCGGAAAAGGTCCCATTATATGTATTAGTTTTATTTTAGAGGAATTCGTATGGAACCATTTATATTCTTATGTTATGACATAAATGGATAATGTAGCAAATTTAAGGAAATTTCATTCTTTGTCAGCATTGCTAGTAGTTGAGAAACAGAATGTGATTCGCTTTAACGCGCACGACAGTCGTTCTAATGAAAAATTGAGACTCAGAACTCCGGTCTCTAGCTGGATGGTAGCGTTGATGTCTCTGGGTTCCGCTGAATACTAAACACCAACTGGACCATGAGTTCATTCAACCATCTAAGCAATATTCTTCTTAAACGTACAACAACTTACACGATTCGTTCTTTAATTGTTATTAAAATTTGTTACAGGACTGCTATCATGGGACGCTGGAGAGCACCAGGTCGATTTGGAGAAGGAACTTGCTACCCTTACGGCACAGGCACCGGAAGGGGAGGAAGCTCGCTATGGTAAGTTCGATTAAAGTACAACTTAATTAGTATGTTTAAAATTACCACGACTAACCAGCCCACTTGATGGATAGACCGTATGCAGTCTACCTGGCGTTATTATAGGCCTTGGCCATACTTCTAGGATCTCTCTAGGCTTATCTATCTAGATATATTATCTATCTTATACTCTAGATATCGATCGTCTTGAAATAGGTAAGCAGGTAGTCCTTATAGAAGTAGTAATATGTAGGACGCTTCCGTTGTGATAAATATCCCGTCAGACTGATAATGAAGTCACTATCTAGAATCCTTTAGTCTTGTATAAGGTTATAATGAGTCTCGTACGTTTTTCATCTCTAAGCTTTATTTGTAACATGATTATCTCCACTATACATATACGATACACGAAAATATTCCGTTGAACAAATTTATTAGCCCTACCCTCTATATCAAACGCAATTCAATTTACTTCACTCATATATTTTTGTATGGAACGATTACATATTTGTTCTTAGCCTCGTAACTACGGCAGAGAATGGTGTCACAAATCTTTTTTATGTTACGACAATAACGCTGTGTAGTACCTACTGCTTTTGTTTTTGAAGGCTTATTTATCAAGCCACGTTTTGCTTCATTGATTTTTATTCTTATTCCATATTCGTGTATTTGTGGGATTATTGTAGCTTTTATGTCAACTATTTTTTTTATTGCTTGGATGGGTGGACGAGCTCACAGCCCACCTGGTGTTGAGTAGTTACTGGAGCCCATAGACATCTACGACGTAAATGTGCCACCCACATTGAGTTATCAGTTCTAAGGTCTCAGTATAGTTACAACGGCTGCCCCACCCTTCAAACCGAAACGCATTACTGCTTCACTGCAGAAATAGGCAGGGTGGTGGTACCTACCCGCGCGGACTCACAATAGATCCTACTACCAGTTCAACTAGCTGTATGTATCAATTATTTTGGGCTAATCGTAGATTAGGAAGTTTGGAGAATATGGTGTAGCCGACACAAAGAATTAACGACACAAAGAATTAAGTATGTTTCTCAGGCGTTCTTTTGCGCGCTGCAGTATTCAAAGTGAAAATAGCGTTTGCTTATAGGAATGTTCGAGATGATCCCACCATCTCGTTTATACCATTGCACCGTCTGTCATCGTTCTTCCATAACGTGTCCATTTTCATTTATTTGCCACGTGCCATATTTTGGAATAGATTTCCAACCGCAGTGCTTCTAGAACTCTGTGTCTTTCTTCAAACGAGGAATGAAGTTTGAAGGGAGTCTTCGGTGGCGGTTTGTCTGGGTCAAATATCATCAAGCATAATCAGATAGTTCTTATGTTCTTATGCATGCATAGACTATAAAACAACAGAGACGGTACTATTAGAAAAACTCCCCTCTTTCGGTTAGCGTTTTGGGAATGAACCCTCCTCAATGATTTGAAATGATATGTTCTCGAATGCTATGTACATTCATATGGACATGTCATTTTACTGAAGATTGTTTTAGTCTCATTTGAGATTAGCTTTCAAATTTCAGAGACTCATAGCTGCCCGAATTACCTAATAGAAGACTATTATTGGATACATGTATTGAAAATATCCTGCCCCTATACTCACCCCAATAAAATTACCTTAATACATAATATGATTCCCTAAATTGCCCTTATCCTTTTGCTGTACAAAAACTCAACCCTTAAAGTCAAACCTTTAGAACGTTTTACGACATTTTTCCCTGATAAACTTTAAATACCTCTTTTAAAAGTTGAATCTTGATAAATGAGTGATAATAAACTGTTCTTACTTAAAGTTTCCTCGGGAACTTTAACTGAAGTCAAATTAATGCATGCGCTGTATAGTTTATCTGTTTTCTCTGACAATTACGTCTGTTTCATGACATGCACCGTTGACAATTTCGTTTCATTCCCTCATTATCGGCTGTATCCATATATAAAACTCACTAGACTTATTAGAATTTTTCATTCTACTGTGTATTTTGCAAGGTCACCTTTAGCACAGTAACCTATTAAAAAATTGTCTTTATTCTCACTCTACGTTATTTCATTGTTTACTTGATCATTATTTACTGATGGTAGGACCTCTTGTGAGTCCGCGCGGGTGGGTACCACCACCCTTCCTATTTCTGCCGTGAAGCAGTAATGCGTTTCGGTTTGAAGGGTGGGGCAGCCGTTGTAACTATACTTGAGACCTTAGAACTTATATCTCAAGGTGGGTGGCGCATTTACGTTGTGGATGTCTATGGGATCCAGTAACCACTTAACACCAGGTGGGCTGTGAGCTCGTCCACCCATCTAAGCAATAAAAAATAAAAAAAACACTTTCTACGTAACAATTTCCTCTATACGATATCGTACATTAGTCAAGTCTAGTCATCAATCACCCTGGATCTACGTCACTGTCGATTGATTACACACCAGACCATGCTCGTTAAATGAATACAGGTGTGTCTGTATAGTATTTCAGGGTTATAAATGCTCTGACACACTTAATTGGAAATGTTCACACTCCGTAATTACACGTAATGTGGTTTTATAAATAAATAGACATTCAATTACATTTGATAATTGAAAGTTCTTTGACGATAAATATTATATCATGGCAAATCTTTAACTAAATTAGCGGGAAATCTTGATCTTTTATTTCAAAACTATTATAAAATACAATGACTTACTTTTGGTTCTAAAAATTAATTCTGTAAAGTCAAAAAAGTTACATTAACTTTTTCATATAGAGACTACTTCGATTTTTGTATAAATGATTCTATGCTTTTCTGTTGGAAATGTTTGACATCATCCTGTTGATGATGATGATGTTTTTACCTTTGCACCGCCCGCCACCGGAGTAGAGTTAATCCATACTACCTAGAACCACTGTGTTCATGGACTTCCTTCCGGAGACCTTATTTGACACGTACCATCCGGATTTGGAATGAGCTCCCCTCCACGCTGTTTCCCGAGCGCTATGACATGTCCTTCTTCAAACGAGGCTTGTGGAGAGTACTTAATGGTAGGCAGCGGCTTGGGTCTGCCCCTGCCATTGCTGACGTCCATGAATCACGGTAACGACTCACCATCGAGTGGGCCGTAAACTCGTCTGGCTCCAAGGTCTATAAAAAAACATATGTAGTCTACCTGAAATGGCACCAACTACCTTATAATGCCTCACAGCTTCTTTTAAAGTATATGCACACATCTAAAAAAACAAGGTTCTCTTCATTTAAAAGCTCACACGAACCTTGTTTTTAATCATACGCTCACAGATAAAACGTTTGCCAATATTTGAATCCATACAACAATAGCATCGTGGCAAATAAAGCAATCAAGTTACCAAGAAAAAATATCTCCTGCCGTGGAAATCCCTTTTTTGTTGCAGCAATTAGTTCCCTATCGATTTCCAGTTCGCTGGGCTCGACGTGGCGGTGTCGTTAGGAAGACCGTAATATAGGTTAATATATATACATAAATATCCGCCAAACTATCTTGACAAACGCAGATAATTTCTTCCCTAGACAAGTAGTTTTTACTCACAAATTTCTGTTTGGTAGAAAGATCTAGATTTAATATGATGCAAGAAGAAACAGAGTTTGCGATCGAGAACAGAGTCCCTCTGTCTATGTCTGATAGGTAAATCGTTCCATAGTATTACGGCTAAAATGCAAGTAGCTAGATGCATTTTTAATATGCTTCTATGAGCTCACTCTATCTAACGGAATCTTTCAATGAAATATTCATCAACTTGAAGAAGTACGAATAACTTGAAGATATCCATTATTATTATTTTTTTATTGCCTAAGCAAGCCTTATTGCCTAAACCTGTGTGCTGTGTGCGTCCACAAACCTAAGTTTGTGGTGAAATAGAAATAGGCAGGGTGGTGGTACCTGTGCGGACTCACAAGACGTCCTACCACCAGTAATTAAGCAAATTACGATTTTGCGGGTTTGATTTTTATTACACGATGTTATTCCTTCACCGTGGAAGTCAATCGTGAACATTTGTTAAGTACGTATTGCATTAGAAAAATTGGTGCTTGCCTACAGGATTCGAACATCAGTGCATCGCTACACACGAATGCACCGGACGTCTTATCCTTTAGGCCACGACGATTTATAAAAGAATTAAGAGTTTTTTTTCAGTTTAGCTTATAATAAACAAAGGTTTTTGTTATTTATTGTTAATAAAACGTATTACACAACAGGACACGGAAACTTATCGATTTTCTTGATGGTAAAGTGCGGGCGTATCGTGAGCTTGCACCACTTCCCCCACAAATATTCTTTCCGCGTGTTCCTTTTATTAGATACTAGCGGCCAGCTCCAGCTTCGCTTAGGTCTTTAATAAAATTTTCAAAATTAAAAATCATAATTCACACACAAAAACCCTTATATTTGCGTCAGGTTACTAAAATAAGGAAATTATAAAGATAGTTTGGAATATTATTATTTTAATGAACTTTTATTTTCATTTAAATGAATTTTTTTTCCCTATTTTGATATATTTTTCTGATTTCGTTAAAAGGTTATACACTCAAAATAAAAGCCATTGAGTTTATTGAGTCAGAGTTTCCCTGTAAACGATATTTGACGTTGTATTATTTTTAAAAATAAAAGAACACTTGTGGCATAACTATAATAGTTAGACATATGCTGGACTTATTATTTATTCGTAGGCTGTCGCGGCACTTTTTGTAAATAATAATGTGTTCTACAAAGTCATAGTATATTATTTTATTCTATCATCAATAATTTTCGCAGCGCACGCGACTAAGGATATTTTTACACCTTGGGTTATATTATTGGAGTTTTAGTAAGGATCCCTAATTTAAAAAAAAAAGAATATGGCCTATGTCACTCGGCGATAGTGTAGCTTCTAAACAGTGAAAGAATTTTTCAAATCGGTCCAGTAGTTTCGGAGCCTATTCGAAACAAACAAACAAACAAATCTTTCCTCTTTATAATATTAGTATAGACTATAGATTCCGTATAAGTATTTAACA